GGAAGGAAGGAAGGAAGGAAGGAAGGAAGGAAGGAAGGAAGGAAGGAAGGAAGGAAGGAAGGAAGGAAGGAAAATTCCAGAGATCTAGCAGTAAACTGAACCTACGTAAATTAAATGTTGGGTCACTTTTGATGGTTACCCTAATATTTCCAAGCAATTAATGAAGTTACTGCTGCAAAAATGTACAGAAATAATGTCAAACTGGAAGTTTAAGAATTCAACAGGAAAACATCTGAACTGAGTGACTTAGTAATGCTTAGTATACAGAAGTACTTTCAAACAACACTGACGGAACTTCATTATTGCTAGAATTCATGACAATGTTGATAGCAAAAGTTTATGGTGTTATAGATTAGGTTTAAAATTAAGATTTTAAAAATACTTTATCCTTTTACATCATTTTCTCTCAAAACTGAACTATACAGTAATATTTCAGATTTTAACCAAAAATAATTCTGTGAATAGAACTGATACCAAATGTACACCATTGATTGCCTTGCTTGAAAATGTCCAGGCACAATGTGGAAAGGCAGACCTGCCTTCCCTCCCAAAAGTCACCAAGAATCCTGAAAAGTATTTGGTAAAAATGTAAATAGCATTTGCACAAGTGAACACTTTCAACAAGCTGAGCACTGAGGCATAAAGAGAACATGTCTCTTCATGATTTGCCAGCACTTTCTAGCTCTGCCACAAAACATACCCTATATATATTTCTTTTTATTATAAAATAATTTGCCTGATGGATCATGATATACATTTGCCAGACTTCAACTGGGAGGAAGTAAATACCAGCATTGCTGACAACCATGTTTGAGAGCAAAATATACTATACTATATAAATAAAAGAAGTTCTCAGTGATTTGTACATCACAGCTCCATTAAACATCGTTACATCACAGGGCATCTTAAATACTGACATTTAAGATATTTAAATATTTAAATACCGACATTTGTTAGTCAAATCTATAGGCTCCTACTTGAATGCAGTTTCTGAGTTCAATGGTTATTAAATAATATTTATGCACTATATTTTGTCTTGTTCTTTCTCCAAGGAATATATTCTCTCTGCATCTCTGAAGAGTTGGGTAGAACAATTTGTAAGACTAAGATATGATAACTGGTCATAAAATATAAAGCTAGAGTTCCATGTTTGGTTAACACTTTGTTTTAAAAAAAAATAGAATCACATTTTATTTAAAAGAGATTTTTTTAAAACATTAAGTAGTTACATGCAAAGCTTAAACTCACATTGTAAAATTAAAAGTAATATTATGCAATATTTCTAGCTAAATGTTTACTTATCCTTTCAGAGATACGGTAATCATTTTTCCTGAAACAGATTTCTGTCTCAGTTCTTCCTGGACTCCCTTCCTGATCCCGGAAGATTCTAGTCATTTCAGAGATTGCCAGGGAGACAGAAAATATCCCACTGCTTTTTTCAGTCTTGCTTTCTAACTGCTGCTTTTGTTTTTAAAAGACAAACTATTTTCCTCCCTAGCAAAAAGGGTGGGATTTAGGTTATCTGACTTTGTAAATGACCTATGGTATGCAACTGTCCCTTGCAGAGACATAGATTCCGTGTCTAAGATGACAGAATGTGGACTGAAACTCAGACACATCTGAATGTTAGTGAATGGGGGGGGGGGGGCTTGCCTGCCTATCGATATCTATATTCACATCTATATGTTGCACTGTAGTATTCTATTGGAGCAAATCAAACTTGCAGCTATTGGATCTCAGTAACAGTGTTGATACCTGTAGCATTATAGGTAGTGTTCTGATTCTTTTGTTTACCTTGATATAAGGACACTTGTTTACAAAAGATACACAAAACGATATAAGAATCCTTAGAAAGTGTTCTCAATTTGTAAATTTGTTTTAATTTCTCAATTAATAAAGTGTTCTCAAATAGTAAATTATCCCAGATTTTGGCATAAATGAAGGATCTAGACCAGTGGTCTAATGCATGAAACACAGTATATGCGATTAAGGAGCATTTACCTTTAAAATGTATTTATATTTTAAGGCATCTTCCTATTTTAATTCCTTCACAGTATTTTACCAAATTCAAAATACATTAAAGAATTTCTTTTGTAAGAATTTTGCCAAGATTTTCATAGTATACCACTTAGGAAAGATGGATTTATTTCTTCACACATTCAATCTTTTAACTGGGCTTTTATATTAGTTTTTTAATCCTTTTATTTTTATTTAAAACAAAGGTATTTTTCCAAAAAAGGAAAAATAAAAAAACACCCCTAAAAATAATATAGGTAAATATTTAATTTCTGACTTCCCCCTTCTTTGTACTCCAACTGATTTGCAGTACCTATTGGTGTAAACTTTACAAACCATACTCTAAGTTTTTATATTTATCTTGCTGCATAATATATAGCATATATGGAAGCTATTCTTGCTTAAATTTAAATTTCTGTGATGGATACACACTGTTAGTTTCAGCATTGCTGCATATTCTTCAGGTTGAAGTTCCCAATCAGTTGTCGTTTGTACTATTTTTTTTTCCTAGCGTGGTGCAGTTTGTCCTCACAGTTGTAAACATGTATCTTGATGTTGATTAACACTTTGAACTTACACCTAATCCAGGATTCTAATCTTTTTTTTATCTAATTAAAAAAATTCAGTATTTTATCATCATGTTCTACCTCCTACTTGCACTTGTTCATCAGTTATCACATGTCTCACATTCAGGTATCAGCCAGTTTGACAAAAGGCAGGAGAGAAGCAGTGCGCTGAATAGGAATATTAGCCCAAATCAACACGTACTTTCTTTGGCCTGAAACACAAACTTCAAAATTCTCTGAACATTTTTATTTATATAAAATGCATATCTATACCTATCTGGCTACAGCTCTTTAAACAATATACACTTAAGGGCAAGGACCTTTCTCTCCAATCTAGTTAAGTTTGTTCTTCAAATATTGACACAGGAGTAAGGGAAAGAGAGATTCATATAGATTCAATCCATTTTGCTTCCAAGCCATCATACTTTAAATGCTGAAAATAAAATTCCCCAAATCTACCTTCCAAAGCCATGATTTAAAGTTCAGGGCTATTTTCTCTTCTAAATAAAGCATAACTATTGCTATTAATATCCAAATTGCTTTGGCTCATACCAGACTAATCAAAAACTCTCACACTAAAAAGAATATAGACTGATTAGCTCCCTTTTCTTTCTAGCTAGCTACACCTCACTCATTTGCCTGATCTTTGTCTTGAAGCTATCTTCTCTGATAGCTGAAAAGTCCAAGTATACTCAAATTTATTTTTGTTATAGTTGTCAGGAGACAAATGAAACAAGGATGAATCTGCAGCACTAAAGAAGTTCCTCCAAGGAGTACTTCCTCCTTATTTTGTGCATATCAGTTAGGAATCACAGAAAATTGGCCCAATTTTTCTTGAAGCAAATCCGTTTACAGTTTTTGAACAGAACAGGGTACCATTAACAAGGTGTATCCAAATTGGGTGCACTAATGCTAGCTAGATTGGAAAGTTGATTCTGATCCTTGAGAAAGGTAAAATTCAGTTATTTTGAGTGACTCTCTTGTGCTTTCACCTTATTCAAAATAACTCTCATCCCCAGCCAACTCACAAAAAGGTCTTGAAGGCATGCATGGGTCTTAATCCCCGTGATACTAAAGCAAAAGACAAAAAAGAGAATCTTTGCGAAAAGGGCACAGGTGAACTCCTAAATCAAATCAGATTGAATAGGGCCAACAGCCCCCAGGCATTATATATATACAAGATTGTTATCAGAAGGGACACTGGCAGCAGGTATTTTTGATCACTGCCTCCATAGTTTGGAATTCCTTCCCCATAGAGATCCCATAGAGATCCCATCTGCTCTTTCTCTCTTAGTTTTCAAGAGGATAGTTAAGACTGGTTGTTCTTCCTAGTACAGGATGAAGGCATGTTGTGAGTGAAGGCTCAAATCTGATGGAAACATGACCTTGTATATTTGCTGTTTATTTTTAATGATGTTGTCATTTTTGCTTTTATAAGGGGTGAGTTTATTTACTGTTTTTCAGAGGGTTGTTTTTAACTTGATTGTTTGCCACCCAGAGCCTCAAGAATGGACAGCATTCAAATGCAATGCAATGCAATGCATAATATAATATGTGTTTAGACATTTTCCAAGTGATCCTAAAGGATTTCCTAATATCCTAAGAACAGGTGCCTTGTTTCTACTGCTAGTTAAAAATAAATACTGCCCTAAGCCTAGACAGTGGTTTCAACAGAAGATCTGGTTTTGAATTTTTAAAGTTTGCAGTATTAACATGCTTTCTAAACACAAGTTAGAACAGTCTGATTCTTCATAGCATGTTTATAAAAACAGTACTGAAAAAAAAACCCAGTTCTTAGGAGGCACTTACCCAGGGATGCCACCTGCTTCCATCTTGTTAGCCACAGTTACATCCGTGGACCATACATCATACTGCCAACGTTTCTGTCCTAGGACTCCACCAAGGACAGTGCCACTGTGAACCCCCACACGCATGTCCACATCTGTTTTGGTCTTCTCTCTCACATAGCTTTAGAGGAATAAATTAATAATAATAAGCAATGTTAATCTCAATAGAATTATTATTTCCTGTTTCTGTACCTAAGAAAGCTTTGCTATGGCTGCTTTTAGCATAGGGCTTCACTGTCACTAAGGGCTCTGTTCAGAGGATTGCCAGAGGTCTCACGAAGCTGGGCACTCCCTGACTCCAATCTAAAATTCTACTAGGAGGACAGAAAGAAGAGGAAATAAACAATATGAGGTTACTTTAGTTGCTCAGGTTTCATTAAAGGAGTGCAAACTTCCCCAATATAGTACTTTCCAGATGTGGATAGACTACAAGGCCCATAATTCTCAGCCATCATGGACAAACTCAGGTTTTGAGGAGGATTTGAACAGAGGAATAGGCACCCTAGTAAAATTTAATTCTAAATACAAGATATGGCTTTTTAGATACCACCAGGGAACAAAACTTATAACTCAGTGGTAGAGCTATTTATTTACATGCAGAAGGGTCCCATATGAAACCATGGCCATTTAGGTAGGGCTGGAAAAACTCTGGCCGAAAAAAGTGGTGAGTCCCTGCCAATCACTGTCAACAATCCTGGTTTAGTACACTAAGGGAACATAGCTTCATTTATTCTTATGAAATCTGAACTTGTGCCAGATTCAAAAGATTGCCTAACAAACCAGCTCTCCTTTCCTCTCCTCTTTTATTTCTCTAGTTTACTGAGCTGTAAAACTACTTTCAAAGTTGCTATTCCTGTAATTTTCCATAAATACTTCTTTTCAAGGACAACATTTTCCATTCCTAAGACCTTCCTAAGCATGGAATTTTGTTTTACAGAGGGAGAGACAAAATTAGCTGGAGATATATTGTTTAGTTATCATGGTCAATGGAAAAAAGACCAGGAGGCATTTTTCTTCTCTCCAGCTGGAAAAGATAAGCTAAGATGAAAATTTACAGTTCAGAAGCAGCCACACATAGGGGAAGATTTTTACACAAGTAACCTTTAGGAGAAAAATGTGCAAGGATATGTGCATGTAATAAGGAAATAATTATGTAATAAATTGTACTGTCTTTAATTAGAGTAGGACAGCAAAAGCGGGGGGGAAGCGTTCTTTAATCAAATGGAGCAATCTTACAGTGAGGCTTATGGCTTTAATAAATATACCTAAAGCAAGTGAACTAGGCAAATGTGGCTCTCAGGTCTGCAATTCAATAAAATTCTTATAAAAGAATATGCTTCACAAAAAATATTCCTTGGCAACTTCATAAACCAATAGTTTTTCAGTTGGGGGAAAAAAAGAAAAACATGAATGAAAACAAAAAAACAACAACCCAGACTGGAAAAACCAAAAACAGCACACAAATTGGGAAAGTGGGAATGCTTACGAAATAGCTTCCACCATAGCAAGACCCATCATGATTGAGCAAACAGCATGGTCCTCACGGTAGTCTGGCAATCCACAGATACAGTAGTAGCAGTCACCCAGAATCTTGATACGCAGTTGATGGTACCTCTGTAAGAATGCCATTTTTTAAAATAAAAGGTAAATGTTTAGGATTTCCAGGTCTCAACCCAAAAACCTGCATTTTATTTTTAAACCTATTATTGAATCATGGAAAAAGCTGCTATGGGTTCTATGGCTTATTTATCCTCTGACCCACAATCCCTTCCAATTACAGTGCAGCACATTAAGAACCTTAGTTGATAATATATGACTCCAGATACATGTGATTCCTTCTTGGAATCTTAATGCAAAAGAAAAAAAGGCAAACAATATTTTAGTCTGCCTCAAGAAGTATACTGTACTTTTGAAGTTATCACAAGTAATAATTCACTCTATTCTGCATGGCTTAAACACTATCTCAAATTCTGAGTATGACAGCACAAGAAATATTCAGATAAATTAGAATAAGTTCAGAGAAGGATATAACATAAATGATCAGGAGATTACAAACTAAATCATATAAGGCAAGATTAAAAGACTGAAGGAACTGCATAGGTTTAGCTTGAGAAGATTGGGGGTGGGGGAGAGAGATATAATTATATTCTTCTAATACCTGAATGGATGTCACATGAAATTAGATCAACACCATATGACTTTTCTGTATCATTACTATTGTGCAATGGTTCTCCAGTTTGACTCAATTCATCAACTCTTACACCAACTACAATTTTTTTCAGGTTCATGTGGTAGCCTGAAACTGCCTTAATGAACAGCAGAGTTCATTAAGGTATTCAAGCGAAGTTTGAAGCACTTCTTCTAAACTATTTTTTAAAGCATGCACAACCCTAATATTTATTCAAAGTTATAATCAGTAATCAACTCAAATTAGATTTTTTTCTTTTCTACCCCAGATAATTTAGACAATTAACATTTTAAAAATCAATTCTTCATCTCCCAGATTTAAATTTGTATTATATTCAACTTTAATACTAAGGCCAGCAATTTAAAAATGATCAACATTTAAACTGCAAAAAGATTTTCATATTAAGCATTGGTGATACTGTATTACAAAGTTATTCATAAACCCTGAGATATTGTTGTCAAGTTGTCAATCTTAATTGGGCATTTATTTATTTATTTATTGTATTTATGCAGTGCCATAATCTGCAAAGATTCCTGGCAGTTTACTTCCATAACATATAAACCTGTAAGATAGATTAAGAGGTAGCAAAGGCTGAAGTTTTCTGGGGGGCATTTGGAATGTGATTCTTCACCATGATTTTTTATTTCATTTTTTCATTGTTACTTTTAGTTTTGATTTTTGTAGTTGTTTTTTAGACTTTGATGTTATGAGGACTCTGGAATAAAATTTTAAATTGTTTTTAAGTTTTCGTTTTATCATGGATGTTTTATTACATTTGTTTTTCTTATAGTGGATATTTTTATTGTATTTACTTTATTGTAAGCTACCAGGAGTTGGAATGATTCAGCAACATATAGATTTAATAAATAATTAAAACCAAACAGAACACCACAAAAATATAGCACTAAAAGTTTTAAAAAACCAACATAAAAACACCACCACCAGAAAATAAAAATGCAGATAGCAACCAGTGCTTTGGATTCAAAAGAGAAAAGCTGCTTCAGAACACAGGGGTGCTCACATAATTCTTTCTGACAACTCTTTAAAGCATTTGCATATTTTTCTGGGATCACATGGTTGTTCCCTGTTGTGGCAGCACAATCGCAAGAAAACATTTGGTTTAAGGAGCTGCCAACAGGAGTTACATGAACACCACTGTGTGTTCCAAAGCAGCTTTTACCTTCTGGCAAAAGCAAATACTCAAACATCTTCTGGAATATCAGATGTGCCTCCACCTTCATAGTTCTCAAAACAGTCCAAAAAACGTTCATATACTGTATTTACTTCCTAAACTTCTTAAAAAATTGTACAAACAACAACAGTGGGAAAATACAGGGAAGATTACAAGTAGAGTGTGCTGTCCTCTGAAACCCCTATAACATTTCATGAAGAAGACAGGCTGATTTGATAGTAAAACCTTCATTCAGAAACACCCTTTGTCATTCTTTTATAACTTAGCTTACAGTAATTTACAGATTGCTGAAACATTCACTTCTAGCAAATAGAAGAATAATTTTGACAAAATTCAAACTGGGTAAGATAGCTTCACATTTGTGATAAAAGAATTTGGGGGCTCTATTTCTTATATTTTCTGAAATGAAATCTCATAATTAATTATCACTATATAATTAAATAACATTGCAATAAACCCTAAAATAATCATTCAGTTCCTTTACTCTTTTGAAGACAATCTGTTTATTCATATATATGTGTGAGCATATTTAATCTGTGTAATTTCCTAACAGAATAAAATAATTAATTATAAATGATAGTGATGATACTTTGCAGCATTAATTAATTAAACAAAACTCCAGAGCAGATATGGTTGCTAATGTAAAACAGTTAACACAAGTTTAAGGAAAATTTAAAATAATCTCCAGTAAATCTAAAGTAATTTCTGAAATAATTCTTATGCCAGTGCTCATGATAGTAATATCCATAAACACATGTAGCTTAAATAGCTGGCATAATCATGTACTGTAGTAGCTTCATTTTTCCTGTATTGTCTTTAGTCCTATTTATGAGACTTTTAATCATCCTTCTGCAAACACTGCCCTCCAGATGTGTTTGACTACAGCTTCCACTGTCCTAGCCAGATGGCTGGGAAAACAAAAGTACAGTCAAATCAAATCTCACAAGTGATGCTATAGAAACCTTATAATTAAAAAGTACTAAATCTTCCCTGATCTTATATATGAATAAGTTTAGGCATGACATTAGCCGGGGGCAGAATCTCGTTTGGAAGCTGAGTATATTGCAATAAGATATTTGCATTTGTCCAGATCCTTCCGTGTAATCTCAACCAAATGTTTTATGTTTGAATTTTACTCTTTCACTGAGATTCTTCTGGTGTTCCTTATTTCTATATTATTCATTATGCTACTTATATTTCTTTGCTTTTAAATGGGAATTCTTAAAATGAAGAACAGTGTATGTATATTTGATATATGAAGCCATTCAAACAAGTCTCTAAGAAACATAATTTCAAGATATGAAAGATATGAAAATTCATGCGAGCTACTTTCTGAGTATTACTTTCTGTGTCTAAAAAAACAGTACTGTATGGGAATCAGTTATAAGAGTCAGAGAATTACTTGATTCATACATCTCACTAAGCCAGACTTTGCTTAACCATGTTTTGCTGACAAACCACAGACATACAAAAAAGGAAATTGCATCCACTAAAGTGTATCAAATGAATAAGGATTGTCTGGATTTATTTAACATATTCAGCTAAACTCAAACAACAATATTATACATTTGAGTGAGGTCTAAATATCTAATTTCAGCCAGATTTTTAAAAACATAGAGTGGCTCTTTGGCAAGAGCACTTTAAAAATGGAGAAAAAAGCAGAAGGGAAGGAGAGCTTAACCTTTTCTCCAGTAAATCTCCTCCCCTTTTACAGCTGCATGTATATCAGAATTATGTTTGTCTGCTTCTTCTCCATCTTTTCTTTGCTTCACACAGGCATCATTACAAATAAGAAGGGTAGTTTCGGCTGAATTACACACAATTTGCTGTGAAGATCTAAAGAATTTCCAGAATTATATAGGAAGCTAAATCTGATCAAGAAACTCACAGCTGCTAGTTTATCAAATCGAGCAAAGAGTTCATTCAAAAGTTTCACCAATTCCTGGGCACTGCATGAGGATGACAGCTGCGTAAAACCTACGATGTCAGCAAAGAGGATACTGTAGAATGAAAGACATGAGAGCCAAAACAAGTGAGACATCATCACTTAACTAACTGCAGCAAAAACAATTTATGACAGCTATTCAACCATTTGACTTATTAGCCCTCTCATCTGAAGTTCAGTCTCTGTGTCATCAGTTCTTTGATATTTCTGGTTTTATGCTTTAATTCTATTCTACACTTATATGTTTACTAGCTTCCTCTATTTCAGGAGTGTGCAGTGTTTAAGAGATCAGGGGTTGCAACTGACTCCCAACTGTGTGGAGGGCCACAGGAGGCCATCTGCTGCCTTAGTGACACAGTGAGAGGGCATGGCTATTTTTGTTTAGCTTTTAGGAAAGATGTAAAAGTAGGGATGGGAGCAGGGGGCCTCCCAGTATCACACCACTCCATTCCCCACTCTTAAAACCACCACCACCACCCCAAAGCCCCAAATTTGGCTGTTGAGATATCAGTGGTACAATCTCAGGGTGCTGGAGACCTGCAAATCAGTTTGCATATAGTGACATGCAGAAAGCAATTGCCTACTCCTGCTCTGTTGTTTTATTCCAACACTAAGCACAATAATTATATTATTCATTCTGCTTCTGAACTGCATCTGATGCTGTGGTAAATTTGGAAAATGATTTTGCTTGAATTGTGCTTTGTATCATAGTTGAATTATGTAATTAGATTTTACTGTGGAGACTCTCATTGTGCCCATAAAGATTTACTTTAAATAATGGCTTAGTGCTGGATTTTATTTCCTTTTTAGTTATTGTGCATCCAGGAGATGGCCTTGTTAGTACCAGCAAGCCATCTATAGAACACCCTCCTTAAAAAAGCCACATTCATTACCTGACATTTTCATGGCGGTACATATACATGGTATTGAACTGCTGCATTTCTTTCTGGCTTGCATCTTTCTTCATATCCTTCAGCATCTCATCCGCTACATGCCTGGGCAGAATTGAAAGCATCAACCGTTCCTAAAGTGGGAAAATAAATAGACATATTCAAAAGATGGAAGAATTAGTAAAGAGATTAATATTGTAACAGATTACATGAGAAGCATAGAATTATCAGTTAATGTGGGGATTTTTCCTCATCTCATGGTGAGAAAGAATAAAAGCTCAATGGTAAAACTCATGACTTTCATGCAGAAAGGTGTTTCCAGATGTAAGTGATTCAGTAGTGCCCACTCCAGACTCTGATGACTGATGTGTTGCCAGGAAGGACCTCTCAGCAGCATCTACCACAGTAGTCTTCTAGGCCAACTGGTAGGGCAAAGAACTTTCATGGTAGTTCTTGTTTTATCAGCAACTGATCTGGCAGGAATTATCACATTCTAAAATCATGACAGTGGTTTCTGGCAGCTGATAGCTAGGAATCATGGAGGAAAAACAGCACTCATGTTGAGGCATCACAGAGGCAGTTAAGAGTGCCATGAGTTCTACATTATGGCTTCTGATCCAGCCCTACAAAGAGTACTGAACTGTATAGAAAATAGTTGACCATCATATGCACACAGCATGTCTACCACATGAAATCTCTTCTTTCCATTATACAAGTTCTTATAATGACAGAGTTGCTACTCCAACTGAGATCAAGGCTATTTAGGCATTACTAAATGCAGAGAATTTACTATTTGTTTTGCAGTCACAGTTTGTTAAAAAAAAAAAAAAATGTGCAGCAGATTGTGAACTTCACCAGAAGAACTGTGAAAAAAACAACTAATAGTTATATCAGTGCAAAGAGATATTGGAAAAGAACTGAAACCAATATTTTCAGCTAAGAACTTAGATCATAAGAAATAGTTGTCATCAACTATTTACAGATACTGTGAGATAGCGATCATGGTAAATCTTATAAGATCTATTGTCCTCAACTGCTACCTCAGAATTCACAGATTTAAAATCTGCACTGTTTGCAGAGAAGCATATTACAACCATCCCCCATTATCCAAAAACCAATGGTGAAGTAGAAAGAATGGTTCATGCTGCAAAATGAATTCTAGCAAAAGAAGACCCATTCTTAACTTCCCATTCATGTCATTTACTTCAGTCCAACACATTTAATCATAGGTTGACTCAAAAATGAACTTGTGCTATTCCTGGCTTGATTCCAAAGAAGTCTGTGCACTGAATGCAAAAGCAAAAACACCCTATATATTTCACTTGATTACCAACATGGAATGCACATTTTTCCAGAACTACATCCAGGATTCAACATGCAAATTAAATTGGAGGACCAGCAGAGACAGAAGTGTAGAGAGCCAGGGAGGTAGCTCTGAAGCAAGTATTTTGAAACTGTTATGTAAGCAAAAAGGACAAAAGCATTCCTTAAGCCCTGGGAGCAGAGTTAGTATTAAGAAGAGACTCAAGTTGTCCCCTGTCTAACTCAGTGGGGTATAAAAGGTAGGGGAGGAAAATCACAACCAGGCTAACAAGATTTTGTTACTATAGCCTACTATTAAAATATAGCTCTAGTCTTCCTAGGGAGTTGATTTTAGGGTCTGCTCTTCCTTGTGGGGCTGACAAGAAGACACTTGCAGGTAGTTCCAGAGACACATTCACAGAAACTTTCAGAAAGAAAGTCAAACCAGATCAACTTATCAACAGATCAATATTTTGAGACTGAGTTAATACTTCCAAAGACAGTAACATTCAAGCATCTCTCATCTGGAAGCCCAGAAGCCAAAATTATTATTAAATCTGCACATTACAGACAAAGACTAGTTTAGTTAGAAAAAGCAGCTATTTATTGGGGCAGAATATTTCCCATGCTATTAGACATGACTAATGGTCTACTCTTCACTACAGAGGTAGAAAACTGAACATTTTAATGTTGCTTATTTGCAGATTGTGCACAATTTATAATACAAATGAAGGAAGATTAGTGAAATATGATCCCAATTACTAAATAAAGGAAGAGCCAATACCTTAAAAGGAAATGAAGAACTCAAAAAGAACAGAAGCAAGAGCTAGCCAGAGAGTGATGCTTATACTAGAAATAGAGACTAAGGATCATAAACAATTTATAAATTTGTAGTATCAGGCCCTCTCTCTTTACTATAAAGTGCTATTAAAATGACATGAATGTGTTATCTGGTAAGACTCTTGACAAAGGGGAAAAAGTATTGTTCCCAGAATATATCATTTCTGAAAATAATTTATGGGAATGGCTGTATAGAAATTCAGAAGAATACAGATGAAGCTAGGTCATTCATCCATTTGTTAAATACCTTTTCTGGCATCATCTCTCCAGGCTGTCATAATTTTCTGACCATGAGAGATACCATGGAATTAACTTGGAACTTTCCAAAGCGTGTTCTGGCACCAATCTATAGTATTTCTCAAACTGTATGTTATTGGAGAACAAGCACCAACAATGCTCTAGCTTTTCCTCTCACTTAGCCAGCTGCTACTCATGGAGGCTGATTTTGCTGTTCATGGTTTTCTCAGGTCATTGCAGAAATGAAATTGACATCAGTGATGATGTACGTTGCATTCCTGCAAGAGTTGTTGCTCTGTACTTTCATCCTTCTATGCAGAAATACTGGGGCAAAAAAGATGGAAATGATGCTCTGCTAACGTTGGCACACATTTTTAAACAGGTTATCCTATACATGTTTACTTGGAAATAGTTCCATCCAAAACAACATGACATATTACCATTAAATATTGACAAAACTGCAGCCAGAATTGCCTCAAATTTCTGTCCACAGAAATGAGCTTTCTCGGCTTTCAGAAATTTGGCAAAGAACATTAATGAAGACACTAATTTTGCTTTCAAGTTGTTCTCCCTACCGTTGATTGTCTCCATGCATCAGTCCCCAAATTCAGATGGGAACACTAAATTAGCTATGAGTGCCCATAAAATTGTTATTTTTAACAATATATAATCAAGCGACTAAATATAATATACAGCATCCCTATATAACACTGATCAAGTGTTTTGACAGCCTTGTCCTGCCCATTCCTTTATGTAAGAGTGAAATACAGAAAATAGCTTTAAACAAATAATACACTCTCTAGGATTTAAAATCCCATGGTTACAAAGTCTCTGAAGTTGTACAACCAATTTTTCTAAGTATATGGAAATATTGCAAACATGAAAAGCAGACCTTTGCTGCATCTATCTGCAAGAAAGACAGAATACTGATTAATGTACCAGTTGAATGTACTCTTCTCTGTAAAGTTCTGTCTTTGAAAGCTTATCCTGGGTTCCATACAGTGATTGCAGAAGTCTGAAAAGGCAGCTAGGCTACCACTATCATTCTTGCAATGCAGCAGTTATCAAATGTTTTCTCACAGAAGGATGCCTTATACCAGCTCAGAGTATTTGCTTATCTAGTCCTCTATAACAGTGGCTTTCTGAGATCTCCGGTAGAGGCCTTTCTCATTTTCAATTTGTTTTAACTTGAAGTTTCAGTGATTGAATCAGAAACCTTGGACTCTTCCAAACAAATGGCTCCTCTGAAAACTATCAATCAAAGATATTGTGCAATTATTTTACCTTTCTGTCAGTAGGAAATAGGACTTGCCTGACCTTGTGTGAGTTGGAAGGGTAACCAAGGTAGAAGCTTGGAGGGAAGACCTCCAGGAAATAGCAGAATTGTGGGGTAGACTGGGAAGTAAAAAAAAGAAAAATCCCAGAAGAAGATACAGACATTGGAACTCTTGCCAAGAAAATTACATTGACTAGTTTGAGTTGAGCTTGGCTTGAAGGAGGCTTTATTTTTAATTTCTGATAATTGTGGTAAGGAAAAAAACCCAGAATGTATGGGAATAGATAAATATAGGAGCATTATAAATAGAAAACATTATTGTTTGGAAACATCCCCCATCAAATCTCCTGAATAAAGCAGGGCAATTGCATAATAAAACCTTCAGCAGTAAGCATCAACTTGGGTTGAAAACTGGTTGCTTATTAGCTTGCAGCTCTAATGAAAACAGGTTTTAGCCAAGAACTAATGCTGGAAGACCTGATTCCAGATTCATGTCTCATTCATTTTAGCCTTTAGTTCTGGAAACTCCTCAGCTCTTATAAAAGTTGGATGCTGGATTCTGTTGTCAATATCAAACAACTCACTGGCCACATAAAGGAAAGAACTCAGCTTCATCCTCAATTTCCTGAATATATCTCAATTGTCAAATTGTCCTCATTAAAACCGAAGCATCAAGTTATCCCCATTGTATCCCCTCTGAGAATCTCCCAGGAGGATCTGAATGGCAACAGCAATAGCAACAGAAAACATCACCCATTCAAGCTCCTGGCACTCTTTCAGACCCATCCCATAAATTGCCAACAGCATTAGCATTCGCTTTACAAGCTGCTCTGCCATCAAATGGCTATGCTATATCATCCCAGGCTTCAACAGGCACACATTCCAAAATCAAACAAAGAAAAAAGGTAGAAACTGACCTAGTTGAATCTGATTATACTGCATGTATGGATGGTGTAGAACTTAGTGTAACATAGGCCACAGAATGTCATGGGTGCCTTACATTATATAAAACAAATAATATTTAGTTACTTGTTTTTTAAAAGTTGCATATTTCACTTCTGGCTGTTGAACAATGCAATCAAAAAGCTAGGGGATATTTCTCTTCCAGTTTTGTCATTAGATTAGACAACCCGTGACCCATTGGATCATTGTTTCAGAGTATTTCCTTACCTAAACAAAGAAACAGAATGACCAAGGGCAAAAAAGTAGTGGGATTGGGAGTGACTTGCGACTTGCTGCCGTCTTTCCCATTGATTTTGCTTGTGGGAAGCTGGCAGGGAGCATCAAAAATCTTCCTTCTTTCCTCCCTCCCTCCCTTTCCACATATAATATGGCTAATATATAATATTCCACATATAATATAAATGGCTCGCGCCATTTGCCCTCTCCTCACGACCCTCAGGAGAGTCCCTGTGAAACCACCTCCTCCTCCTCTTCAATTGACCAGTAGAACTGCCTGCCACTTTGCTGGGAGGGGGT